CCCTACATATTTACTGTAGAATTATGATCATTTGTCATAAAAAGGAATAACCACACAAAAAACCCACCTCCACACCTCAGGCTGGAGTTCCCTACGTTAAGTGTTCATATAAAACATTTATCCTTTATAAAACAAGATATGAACTGCATGTTCATACAACGTTCATTTATTTCAACAGGGGAATTCTTATATCGGAAACTCTTTCAGTGCTCAAAATAAACTCTTTATACAAACAGAAGCAACATATTCTTCCAAAACAGGTCGCAATATTTAAAGAAATTTAAGTGACAAAAGGGGATATTGATGCTTTTACATGTTTACTTTTTAGATTACAGGGACTCTCTCACCAATAAACAAACTCTTGCTGTTATTGTATTTTATGTATTTGTCAAATATTTTAAGTCTCATATACAGACAAACATATATATGCGTAAGTTCATAGAACTGAACAGTCTTGAAAAATTACACTTGAAAAACAAATTAATTTTCTTGGGACAACAGTGCTGGACTAAAGGTTACTTACTTCTTCTCTGGTGGCACATAATGAAGGTTCATATTGGCATGTGGAGTCATTTGATGATGCCGAGATCTTTCGTTGGCTGAAAAAGCAGCATTAATAGCAAAATGTTTCACATATGACTCCAGGATGGTTATTATATTTGTCTGACAAGGGAGCTTCACTAGCTGCAAAGGAAACACAATCTAATTATAACAAACTACAATATGACTAGTTTTAGTTTTACAAAACTAAAATATTGACGAGGTTTTGAATAAATTTCTATCGAATGAATTTGTTTCAGGAGTGATTAAGTCAATCCCTAAACTACATTTTTGATAAATCCTTTATAAACACCTAGAAAAATAAAAATATGGTCAGGTTGACAGGCTTACTGTACTTCAGGCTTTAAAGAACAGCCTGCACTCTAAAACACAATTAAGTACTGAGATGTTCACATCCTTAAACGCAAGGACAACTCATTGTTATAGCAATAGAGAAGCTTGCTCCCTATGCCCTTAACTCATTTTTCTTCTTTATACTCTAAGATTACCTTTGCTATAAAGTTAACAAAAAAAAAAAGGAGTTGTTATACACAAGAACTATTCTTGACATCCCTATGCATATTCATTCCATAGCTCTTATTTCATACCCGTTTTCTTCTGTTAATATAGTAACAGTCTTCTTCAAGCTTCTTTTTCAAGACTTCAGGAATTTCTATGCTTATTGCTCTCTCTTCCATGTCCCTTTTTGTGTGACTGTCTTGTTCTTCTTTCTACAAGAGAACACAAACACAATGCCGTTGTGCTTATTAATATGAATGAAAAAGAGCCTCCCTAGTCAGAACAGGTCGTTAACAATGAAACAAAAATAAAAGTTTATTATTTTCACAGTACAATAAGTATTTACTTAGACAGTAGTCTTACTATAAGCAATTTAACAATACTGCTTTTAAAACATTTGCAAATTCAGTTTTTAAAACTGAGATATTTAACACCAAGTAACAACTAGAAATATGTTCTGCTGCTTCAGATCAACAAAACCTTAGCACTTAGATTCCACAGACCTTCAGGAACAACTGTTTTCTGCTGTATTCTGTTAACGCTTTAAAAAAAATTCAAATATCTTCCAAATTCTAATTAAAGATCAGAGATGAGGTCTTCACAGTAAAGTAATTTCAAAACTCAGAAAGATCCTGCTTGCTATTAGGATTTGCCCAGCCTGACCAGACTAGTAAACTTTTACAGCACCTATAAATAAGGGTAATAGCTTGCTAGTAAGCCTCCTGTGTAGAAAGAGAGGGAAATGAACAAATTTGTACTTTTGGATTAATATCAAAGAATTCTAAAGGAACAGGTCATCTTTCATAGTTTTCAAAACCTCAATCACAGCAAGTACTTAAAAAGAATAAACAAATTATGCATGTTGATTCCAGCTAAATACTGGAATATACTATACACTGCGGCCAATACTTCAGTCATTTCAATTTTCCTAGAGTTTCAAACATAGTGTTAGATATTATTAAGTCAAGGAGTTCATGAATATACCATTTCGGTCCTCTCGTCAATGTCACTTTCTTCACTTTTTATTTCTTCATCTGTTCCATCATCACTGTCATCAGAAGAAGAACTACTTATAGCTGTATAAAAGAGATTTTATACATTTATCTCACATATCACATTGCAAAGCCTTAGATCAAATGATTATAGGCCCAAATTCAAAAAATAATCAGCTTGTTATATTTAATTGAATTAGAATTATTCATCATCATTAAACATGCAAATAATATTGACAGCACACAACAAACTTTTTAAATACGTAAAAGAACAGACGCTGACAGGAAATACTCCTGCACCTCTTTCAATTGGAAAAAAAAAAGACTCACTTTAGAAAATTCCCTAGATTTCTGAATATCAACAGATCTTTTCAATTTTTATTGGGCTTTAGTTGCGAAAAAGGGATTAACGTATTAATTTTTCAGTGAGGAGGTCTGGATTTGTGCAGCATCAGTTGCCAGAATATCAGTTAACTACCAATCTTCCTTCTGGCTTTCAAAGTGCAAAGAAAAATGCTAGAAAACAAAAAAGCTGGCTTAAGAGTGAAATCAGCAGCAGTAGCCCACTGACAAGAGAGACACCTTCCAGGTAGACTGAAAAAGGTTACTCCTTCAAAATATACATAGAAATATTAGCAAGAAAAACGTCTTGTTTCCTATCACCAAATAAGAAAAACGTTGCACTTGGTAATATTACCCTAAATAAAGCAGCATTAAGCTCCAAAGTAACTGACTACACTAGTTGAGCGGAGGTGACACAAAACTGAAAGCCTCTGGAGCACGTTAAGAAACAGCACAGGAATTAACTGTGTAGTCTGAAACAGAGTATGTCCACTCTTCGTATGGCTGCCTCAGCGTTCTTCAAATGGGACCACAATACTCCTGTATAAACCTAATAGCTAGGGGTACGGCGAGTCCTGCAACTTGCTTAAGAAATTAAAGGCATCATATCAGTTTTCAGAAAAAATGAAAACAAGCTCACAGTC